ATCAGAGCCCGCTGAAGGCCCTGGGGTGGTTTCTATCTGCACTGTTCCCCTCTGCACAGCCTCACCTTCCAAAGGTAGCCTGCCAGCCCAAGGACCCCCTCAGTCTACTGGGGGAAAATGTCAGCCAGTATTTCAGGGATGATGATCAGGGGGGAAATGATGAAGGACATGGCATACCCCAAATTCTGGAAGTTTCTGGGTGATTCCACAAATAGAAAAGATTCTTATTCTTATCCTCAGAAAGAAATTGAGGAGACCCAAACCTCTCTTTGGACACTGCTGGGTCGCTTAGATGGATTCACCACGGGGGTACCATTCCAGCTGCTCTGATGGAGTCTGGCAGAAGAGCTACAAAGTCGTAAATGTCATCTCCCTTTTGAAAGCTCATTCAGAGTGACCCCTGTTGGAGGAGAAACTCTCTCCCGCTATGGTGGCATCAGGCAAAGCCACCAATGGGTGTGAGCATAAAATAAATAGTGATGAATGCCCAGGGGATGAAGGAGGTGCTAAAGAAGCAGTCACCAGACACAAGATGGAGCAGTCGTGATGGTGAAAGGAGTGGTCAACGAGTGAGGCTGCTGTGCCCGGTATTGTCTATGGGCACTGTGGCATCAATTTTCAGCTTGTTCCATCCTCTTCCTTGTATCACAGGCAGGGAGGATTAAAACTACATTTCTCAGCCTCCTGTATACACACAGTTCTAGGTTCATTATAGGTTCAGTCAATGAGACCCACTTATGGTGACGATACAGCCCCTAGAAGGTGGAAGGCTTTCCAGGTGTGCAAGTGGGTAAGTGGGCACCAGCAGAGGTGAGTGTGGGCAGAAGATGGGTTATATGTCCCAGTGTCTCGGTACCAGTTTGGAGGGCATGGGGATCACACCAGTGGTAGTGACAGATGCAGTTTCCTGATTTCTGGGTTGTTGACAGGGGTGTGGCTTGAACACCAAATGTTAAATGGCAGCCTCTGGTTGCTGTTCCTCCAGACTTTCAGATGATTTTGTAAGCGCCTAATTCCATGTATTAAGTCCTTCCTCCTTGCAATAACTAGAGTGGTGAGGCAGACTGGCTGACCGCTTATCATCCCATTTTCTTTTTTCCTGTGTACCCAGCAAGATTATATGTTTTCCAGCCTTTTCTGCAGTAAGATGTGACCCTATGCTGATGGGTTGTGACTGGGAGTGTTGGACAGACCTGAGCTAAACCGCTTAAGATCCTCCATGTTCTTCTCCTGTCTACATGTCTGATGCAGACAAACCCAATGACCTTGGCAGCTACGTATGAAGATGGTTGAGCCACCTGCTAGAATGAGCCCGGGTCCCTGACTCACTGTCTGGAAGAGAGTCACCTTGGAAGAGAAGCTCTCTGCCATGCTAGTGGCACCAGACAAAATCACAACTGGCATGTGAAGGGGATAAAAAAGGTGTTAAGGGTGAGAAAGATGTTACAGAAGCAACAACCAAGGACAAATTGGTGAAAGCAGTGGTCACCAAAGCGAAGGAGAAAAAAACCTGCTATTAATATTTGCTAAGACACTGGAATCATGAGGTTTATCTAATATGGCAGTTAGCAGCACCCCAGTTAAAAGTTGTTTCTGTTCCTGCCCTAAACTCTGACTGATGACAGCCACCAAGGTGAAAGTCGGAGCATATCACTGGTAATACTCATATAAAAACATCAGCGGTCACACCCGAAAAGAGTACATGAGCTGGCAGAGTCCAACTAAAAAGAGAGGAAGCTGGAGAGACTGGAGTCAGTTTGCATTTCCTGTGTGGAGGCTCAAGGACCAAATTCCTTTGATGTCATATAAGCCCTGGCCCCTGTCCATCACTCCATCCTCATCCTCCACATATACTGAGCTTCAGAAAAACAACTTAAAAGTCCCCAAACACACTGAAGTTGCTTTTAAAATATTCCACAGAGAGGCTGAGGTCTGGGAAACCATGCTCAGAGGTTCCAAGACATCTAGGGGTGGCATCCAAGGAACAGCCTCCGCTCTGGACAGATGGAAAGCCATCTTTCTCTGCCATGGACCTTGATTCCAAGGGCTGTTCCCTTTGAATGAGTTCCAGGAGCAGATGCAGATCTCAGAGACAAGTGGGCACATCCTGAGCTGCAGATGTACGGCCTGGCAACTGAACTGACAAGTCAAATAGCATCTCTTATCAATGAGCCAGGCCAGCTGGTCTGTTCCACTGGCTGGGAGCGTGCTTGAGAAACGTGCCTGCCTTTTATTTTGTGATGTGTCACCATTCACCCTTTTGTTGTTCTGGAACATTCTGGAGCACAGGAGGCTAATCATCCTTCATGGTGTGACATCTGTTTGAGATGGCTAAGGGCTCGGGCCCAGAACCTCCCTACGTCATCCTGAAAGGGGACACACAGCCACTCTCAGTCCACCTATTGTCATTTTCCATTCAGTGGTTCACAGATCAAGAAAAGAAGAAAAACACACTCTTAAGGCTGGCAATGCAAACTAGCCCTAAAAGATAAGTGTATTTTACTCAAAACAGAGTACAGAATAAATACTTACCCCTGTTCTTAGAAGACTGACATTTCATTGACTGTACAGCACAGAAAATAGGAGCACGCCTGCATGGGTCCCTCCCAGGGCGCTTGGTGAAAGCCGGGCTTCCTTTAGGTTTTCAGTGTCTCAGAAGAAAGGGAAAGCAGCCTCCATTTCTGCTGTTCGTGTTGCTCCGTCTCTTGGAGTCACAACATGGAAAACACAAGCTCTAAGAATCAATCTTAGAGTGTTCTGGCCTTTGGAACTCTTTCATACCAAGATGGCACCTGCCCAAAGTGTCACCATTTGCAACAAATCTTAAAGGGGAGAAAATCAAACGCTGACCCCAATTAGCTTTGTATCTTGTCAGCCCAATAACCTCAGGTTCAAAACAAGAAATGCATTATACTAAAAACATTTTACATATGTAATATCATTTCATTCACCCAACAGGACTCCGAGGTAGGTGGTTTTATCCCATTGTACAGAAAATGGCACTGAGTCTCAGAAAGATTCAAGAACCTGCCCAGAGCCATCCCACTTGTAAGCAGCAGAACCAAGAGTCAAGTCCAGTTTGGTTTTGCTCCGAATACTGCGCTTTTAACCACTACACATCACTAATTATTATCAGAACTCACCCAGGGAGAGACGCTTGTGGCACAATAGACACTGGAGAACACACTTTGAATAAGGCTGGTGGCGGGGACTTTGAAGTTTCGGAAGTGTTGCCAGGTAGGCTTCATTGATGCCTAGAGCTAGACCCCTCCTATGGCAAATCCGGGCCACTTGGGGACATTTATAAAGGCAAGTGAGTCACCACAGCTCTCCACAACACCTAGCCCCCCACTCCCCAACTCCCTGGCAAATTGTTTGTTTGTTTGTTTGTTGTTTATGTATTTATTTAGTAGCAGAGGATAGTTTTATTAAAGCAGAAAGTTACAGCTCTGGAAAGGAGAGGGGGTCCCGACTGGGATGCCCCCCTGGCAAATAATTTAAATGTAGGGAACCTTGAGAACCACTGGTAATGCTCAGTCACCCTCTGGGGTAATATCAGCCCACAAGTTCTCTTTTTCAAGAGGAAACCTGAAGAAGCCAGACTCAAAAGGCTACATACTGCATGATTCCACAGAGATAGAAAACAGATCAATGGCTGCCAGGGGCTACGAGATGAGAGTAGGTGCTGACTACAAGAGGGCACTAGGAAACTTTCTGTGGGATAATGCAAACTTTTATATGCTAATTCTGGTAGCCTTTACACAACTATATACACTTGTCAGAACTCATTTAATCGTATACTTAGAATTGGCAGATTTTACCATATGTAAATTATTGGGTTGTCGGGAAAGTCATGACTCATTTTTCCAACGAAAAACAGAAATAATACGTCATGACTTTTCGGACAACCCAATACATCTCAAGAAAGCTGATATATATATATTCCCCCACCCCCCCAAAAGAAAGCTAGCTGGTGAATCTTGAGCTAAAATTTTTATTGTATAACCGCACTGCAGTAAACCGTTGAACCCGAATCCCTCAGGTTTTTCTTAACCTCCCCAGCAGGGAGATTTCCTGGAGGCGGCCACTTTGGATGATCCACCGTGTCCAGTGGGAAGAAGGTTCTGAAGGGAATTTTCAGGCAATCGCTTCCGTAGCAGTTTAAATAAGAAGCTGATCACCAGGGTTACATTGCCTTCCTGCCCCTTTCCCGAATCTTCGGAGGTCATACTGTGTATTCGGTAGAAACATTCATCTGGAAAATTGCTTAGAGCCAGGTTAAATATAACATCAGTTTTTAACTTAGATCTCGCCTGTCATACCTGTCTTTATCTTCATATCTGGTTGCATTTTGAAGGCCATATGTGTCTCTATGCTCAGCTTTGAAAGACGGGGAGAAATCTTGCTAAAAATACTAAATATTGTACTTACTACTGCCTCCAAAGGCTTGGCATGGATTAAAAATGAGCATTTCGGTAAGACTAACTACACCAGCCTAGTCTGTCTGTCCTTCCAGTGCGAGGTCGCCCACCCCCCTATACACTCTCTTTGGTAAAGTACGTCTCTCCCCATGAAGGCCAGGTAGTCCCTTTGCTTTCTATGCAAGACCTCCTGATTGGGGAAGGTCTGGAGGCTTTGACCCACGTTAGTAGTTCATTTGGAAAAGGAACATAAGCTACACAAATATAGTCTAACTTTGGAAATAACCAGATCAGTCATGCAAATTAATAAGTACATAAGGTCATATCCCAAAAGAAAACAGCGGTGTCTCACAACAAAAGCTGCCAGGAAGAATGGATTTTAAAGGGAAATGAAAAAGGCGGCCTGACTTTGGACTCCTTTAAAAGCTACTAATGTTACCTGCCGTTAGCTGTATGATTTCCTGGGTATTGTCATTTGGGAGGTCGCCACTCTACCTCGCAGCAAGGTATGAGCTATCCTATTAAGGTTTTTTTCTAATTAAAAAATAGAATAAATAAAACAAAAGACAACTTTTTTCAAAGCACATTTTAATCATTTATTAAAAGGGGAAGAATACAGCATTTAAGGACCCAATCCTATAGTCTAGGACTCATGAACATTAAAGGGAAATTTTAGACCCAGAACAGATGACAAAGCCTCCAAATGCACAGAAGCACACACACCTACAAGGTTTTCAAACTGCATTGATTTACTAGATACTTTCAGTGAGTTTTCTACATTTCTTCCTCAAAAAATGAAAACGTATTTTCTTTTATAAGTTTCAGGCTTAAATACAGACAAAAGTTGCATGAAACAATTGATATGACTTAACACAAGGCTCACTTATCTGCCACGGGCTTTGTTATATAACCAGAAATGCTATCATTGTGTCACCGCCATCCGATTTTCTTACGGTCTTAGAGTCATGTACGTAAAAGTTCATGATAAGACCAAAAAGAAAAAGGAATTTTGTTTATCTTATATCCATTTCATAAAAGCTGGTTAATTTTATTTTTGTTTTTGTTTTGTTTAGGTGGTAGGGAAGGAGTGGGGGAGCTGGTTGGTGAGCCTGATTCTAATCTTGCAAGCTGCCTTTGAAATGATGTTATGAGGTAGGAGGCTTCCACTGACTCTTACATAGGTGGACAATGGGAGACAAGGATAACCCAGTGTTTCACTTGAAGATCCATCTGGAATTGATGTGCAGTGTCCAATTTCATGTGTAAAAGGGCCTTTCTCCAGAAAATTCAGAGCATTTTACAGATACAGCATAAACATGCTAAATTTACATATCTGGAATGTACAAAGCATCCTTCCAGGGGCTAGTAAGAAAATAAAGTTGGAGATTTGGTCCCTCAAGGAGCTTATGGTACTCATCTGACTAACTCAGACCCAGGTTTCCTTCAGGTATGGAAGAGCTAGCCGGGCTACATGGCGGAGACTGGACACGGAGGCCTCTCTCCTGTACAAAGAGCCCCAATAGCCATACGGAGTTCCCTTTCAGTTCCTCAGTTCCCGGGTGTCACCTCCCTGACAGCTTCCCTGGACCCATCACGCCCCTAGACCCCCTGACAATCCCACACTGGAGGGGCCTTACTTCAGTGGGGAAATGCATGCCAGGAGGCAGATGGCTTCCAGGAGAACTTATCAAATCAGGGCAAATATCTGAAGTCTCTAGTGTGGTAGAACTATGCTCCCAAATACTGGCAATAAGCAAATACACTCTGGGGTCCCACTGCAGGTATCTAAATAATTGGAGAAGACTTTTTTTTTCTTTTTTTTAAAGACCATTTTTTTTTTCAACAAACATTTTATTTCTCTCTCCCCTGAAAACCTAAACAGTTTAGTGGGGCTCCTGCTTGAAGATAAGATCGTAATTCAGAAGGTAACCATCATTATAGACAAAAAGTTTCTGGTCAAAAGGATGATAGTTGATGCTTTGCACATTTTCCTGCATCTTCTGCATTATGATGTTTAGTCTGCCCTCTTTCCCTGTGTTTGTGTCATAGTAGTAGAAAATCTCTTCTGTTCTGGTGTTCAGAGTACGCGTGGCATACAGAACCCCACATACTATGAAGGCGTTAGAAACAGAGGGTTTATACTGTTTGGTATGCCAAGTGTTTAGCACCAAAAGTGTGGTGTCATTGAGTTTACTAATCACCATGTTACCAGTACTGGCTTCAGTTGAATAAATCACCCACAATCCACTCTCATCTACAGCTAAGTCAATATCTTGCCAACCAACATTAGCATATGAAAAGCGGTTATTATAGGCAGCATAGGGGAGATTTTGAGTCACAGAGACCTTGTTCGTGGTCAGGTTAACTTTGGCAATGTTGCCAGTGTTGTACCAGTTCATATACATGCTATTCTTATAAACTGCGGTACCACCACCTTGGCCATAAAGAATCCGGTACTCTTGGGAATATTTATACAATAGCAGATCATCCAGTGTATTGTAGAGTCTGTAGTATTCCAAGACTCTCCCATCTGTATTCAATGGTGCCACCCAATACAGCCCTTTGTCTGGATTTTCAGGAGAGTAATCTCGACCCCAGGCACCATACTTGTAGGAAAACCCTCTCCAGTTGAGCCGAACTACAAAGGGTTTGCTGATGTTCACCACACCACCGTGAGCACAGGTCCCTATACAAACAAGAAAAAACATGAGCATTTTCAGAGCAAACGAATGAGAAGATACCAACAGTTGAGTGTCCTAAGACCCAAAGGAATCCATAAATGTTTTTCTTGTCGAGGTTCAATGACAACAGTGGTTCTGATGGAGAAGAGCCAAAACCTTCCCCTTCGTTTCAGTCTCCATGCAAACCTGCTGGTCAGCTCTAGAGAGAACTACCGTTTATTTCCATGGGTGGGCTTTCAGTCTGGAAATGAGGATGATGAAATTGCCAAGAGCCATATAAAAAAGGTTTGAGGGCCCAGAGACAGGGAAGGGTGACTTGGTAAGTTTAATATATTTTTTTTCTATCAGGAAGCATTTTGCAACTATTATTCTATTTCATTTTTCTCATAGAAAAATCAAGAAAGAAAGACCATTCCAGAATCTTACCTATTTCCATAAAGCCAGAAGGTACCACTCACAGGATCAGCGAGAATTGTGAGGAAGGAGAAGAATGTCCTAGCACGTTTCCTTCCCCTTCACCCTTCTGCCCTTCCCTGGGACTCATACCAGGCGCCAATACTGGCCCAAGCCAATCTCAGAAGAGGAAGTTTTAAATATGATATTTTAAAGGTACAGAAAGATGCTCCTATAATGGCAGGATTTCAGCCTTGGAAGACATGAAGGTTATTTTAGGGCAGCATTGCCTGCTCTGTGCCCAAAGCACAGCCCAACACACAGATCACTTGGCGATCGTCTTGCTGCAGAGCTATAAGGTGGGTCTTGCTGCTGATAACCTATATTCTACCATGTCGTAGAATGACAGGCAAGTACTTCATCATTCCCATTCTGATGCGGCCATTGTCACAATGTGTACAACCAAGGGGGACCAGGCTCACGGGTCCACTGAACCTCCACCTCCGTAACACTTGGGTGAGTGACGGAGGCTGAGCAATTGGCCCTTCATGTTATGCTCCCTCTGAAATACCTGCCAACCCAAACCATTTAGGAGCTATAGAAAATAAAATAAAATTCCTCCAGCCTTTTTATAATAACTATCCAAAGAGTTGAACACACATTTTCTGGGATCTTAACAAATAGCCTTAAAAAAAAATGGATGAGTTAGGTTACCGGATAACAACAAAATATGGATGAGGTCATTTTCCCTCGTCCTGCTGCCTGGAGAAGAGCAAGTAAGGGAAGGAGGGAACAGAACCTAAATAGCTGGATCTCACTTAAAATGCTTGGAGGGAATTAGGGAGCCATGGAGAGCATGTAAGGTGAGCTGCAGACAAAAACAGAGCTCCAAACAGTTGCCTGAGGTTAGCATTTTGGGGTCAAGGGGTTGCAAAGCTTTCGCCTCTGAGTCTCTGCGTCTGACAGATATGGAAAGACCCATTCCTTTCCTTGCTAAATGCCTCCCCTTCTCCCTACCTCACTCAAGGACTGCTCAGAGGTGAAACCATTACTAGAAATCCTGCTTTTATTTTTCCAACCTGCTGGGGCTTTTTGGTCCCAGAATTAAATACATGCTCCTTAAATATGCTCATAAATCTGCAGTTGGTGGGAAACCCAGCCAACCATACAACAGGTAGAAAAATGAAACCATTCTGTACCCAACCTCAAATAATTTTGCATATCATTAAGCAGAACACAGTCATGGGTTTATTTTAATAATGCATGCACCATTTCATAAATAAAAAAGCAACGTGTGTTCAGCCGAGAGACTGCTCTCCACTAAAGAAATAATAAATGAAATTATAAATTATTATTTCTTCTCCTAAAAGTGATCTCTCAGATGAATGCTTGTTTGCTTTTGTTTATGAAACAATGCATGAATTATTAAAATAAAGTTAGCAGTGTGTTCAGTTTAATGATAAAAACTGTTGGTGTTTCCATATGCTACAAACTGGATTTTCTAGTGAAAATATCTTCCTGAGAACATATTTATTCAACTACATTTCACTCTGAGGAAATGAAAGAAAGTCACTTTTTTCTTGCAGGTTAGAAGACTTAGAAATTGTTTGCTTAATTGAATCTTGCCTTCCTAGAAAGGAAATATCCCAAACCAATAGCAGCAAATTATTTAAGGAAAACTTACGATGGCATACAACTAATTCAAGAATTATCATGGGGTTAAAGATAATAAACTATTCTGTCCTAAATGCAGAAATTCTTAGATAAGAAGGAACCAAAATAATCTTCCCTTAAAAATTCCTGCTACTATTATCACTACCACTAAGAATGATAATAATGGTTCATCATTTCACATGTTGGCCAAGAAATTAATATTAGACCTGATATAAACATTAAAACTGTATGTACTTAAATCTCCTTTCTTCACCTCCCAACCATTCCTAAATAATCTCCTGTTCTTTTTGTTATCTCCCCTTTATCCTCTATCTCCTTTGGGCCATTTTTAGGGCACTGGCACTGGTCAAAAGGAAGTGGATACAGGGAGGAGAACTAAGCATTGTTGCCAGCACCACAGATGTGGCTATAGCAGTGACAGACCAGTGAAAAGCTATGGCGGGCTTCCCTGGTTCCTGGCAGCAAACCGTCTTGGAAATAATACTGAAGCTGACAGCCGGTGCCCACTGCACATCTAGCCCAGCTAGAGTCCCCAAGGCCCCTGCTATCTATCCATCCACCCTAAGCTTCTCCCCATCCTCCTTCAGCTCACGCCCCTTTCTAGCCCCTTCCTTCATTTGAAGATCTGAGAGATAACCCCATTGCCTTCCTCAGCCATCCCATCCCTGCCACTGGCACAGCAACCAATTGCCCAGCCATGATCCGACAATTGTGTAAAACCAACTAATCATTTTGCATTTTCTGGTGGAAGAGGACACAGCACAGAACTGAGAGCAAACGTACGTCTTCAGCTTCTCCACATGCAAGGAAGCAAAGATGATTTGGTGTTAATCAGGTTCGTGAGTTAGGGGAACTTTCCTGTCACTCCAGGAATCACAGGTACACCTCTCTATTAGCGAATGTACGGGAGGCAGCATGGTACAGTGAAAACATTACCAGACAGACTCCACATCAAATACTCACTCCAATATTTACTAGCTGCCCTGTTTCCCCGAAAATAAGTCCTGCCCGGAAAATAAGCCCTCGCATGATTTTAGGTGCCAAAATATGGCATCTTGGCATACTGAATATTTTAAGCTGAAGGAGCTTGTGGAAAAGGCACCCTTCTCCCTGAAACAGGTCATAAAACCCTCATGTGAGGGGTGCGTGCCCTCCACATCCTGGAGGAATCACGCTAGGGCTTCTTCTCCGGCGAGGTCTTATTTTCGGGGAAACACAGTATGCATCCTTGAGCAAGTTAGCTAACTTTCTGAGCCTCAGGTTCCCCATATTAAAATAAAAATAATTATACCTATTCTGCAGGACTATTAGGAAAAATAGAGAAGGTAGGTCCATGTAACTCAACAACTGGTAATGATACGCATTACACTCATGGCATGTTACCACTGAAGGTTCACGTGACTGTCTCCCTCCCTGGATACTGGTTTTGTCCCCATCCTGGTGACCCCTGAACTCAGAACGGGGCCAGCCACACAGTGTTTGTGGAATAAAGCAATGAAAGACTAGTCAAACCTCCCAAACACAGCTTACCTGCTGTTACTTATAAAACACTAGCCTTCTACCCTGCTATGTATCTGAATTTTGTAAAGACCCTGGGGTACCCTTCACAGAACATAATGCCAGGAACCCTCTACACAAGGGGGGCCTTGGATGGCAGTCTCTTCATCATGCAATTCATCCGATTTTGCCATGGTATTCTGAAAATATCCTGGGAAGCCACATGGTGAGACTTTAGAATATTGTAACTTGGCTTTTTAAAGGTTATCATGGTTAGCATGTTCTTTTAAAGCCAACTATCATATGCCTGCAGAGGAAACTTAATCTTAGATCTATCAATGCCCTCTCCCACCTGGGCAATGGGCCTTTATTTGAACCAAGAGGAGAATATGATTGACGTATGAGAATTAGGCAATTAAAACGGTCATAATCATAAAATGATTAAGACTAAATTGACTCTGAGTGATTGGATATATGCTATCTAACACCCTGCTCTTCCCTAGGCTTGGGATTTGGGCAGGTCACCCCAAATCTTCCGTACCCGAGTCAATCACCAAGCATTTACTGAACACCTTATATGTGTCAGCACAGAGCCGAGCATCTCCAGGCACAGCGGTGAGCAACCCCCGAGCATTTGTTCCCATTTTGCCATTTTGCCTATGCAGTTATTTAGATTCAGGGGGGAAACAGAGAGAGACAGAGTCAGTTGTTTTCAGGGGGAAAAGTTAGTGAGCAGAAGGCCAATTATTATATATTAGACTGGAAAGTTCTATGAAATGAAGCAGAAAAGGATGCCATTTTCAGCATAATTTTATTCAACCCTCAATACATGTCCTGGTTCTAAGACCAAGCTGACCACAGGGGTAGCAAACCACAGCTGCAAGGGAGAGGCCAAGAGAGCACAGAATTGCTTCATAGCTGAGACTCACATACAATCATTTTTTGTCCTGTGCAACTCTGCAGTCAGAACAGCAGAGAGGCCAGATTCTAAAGTCCCATAATAGTGAGTAACTTTAATTAAAGTCTCCACAGGCTCACAACTTGGTGGTGCCTGGGGATTTTTCAATTCTGCATTATCAACCAATCCAAACAGAAAGAGAGCAAGTGAAAGAAATTGATTTAAAAACATGACAAAAAGTCAGTTTAATATAAACATCATAAATATAATATGAACAAAGCTGGAGGAGGGCCAAGTGGCTTGGCTGGGATCCAGGTACAGCCAAGGTTGTGGGAAAGTTAGAGCAAATCTGGGTCTAATTTGCTTAAACAACACAGCTTTGCCAGGATGGCTGACGAAAGTCTAAGTGTGAGGGCCTAGGGGAAAATTCTGGGGGGAAAAAAATTGTAACAAAAATAATCTCACAGACTCACTTGTTTTCCTCCTTAGATACTAAGTGGTGTCCTTTCTCCTCCACCACTGTCCTTTGAGTTACTGACGCCTGACAGCCTCAGTCCTGAGATGACCAGGAAGTAAGGGCCTTGCATTTCAGCCTCAGCTCGGTCACTAACTACCTGTGTGGCTCAGGAGAAGCAGCATCCTCACCATCTAAGTCTCCTCCTCTGAGACAAGAGGGGCCTGAGCTAGATAGATGACCTTGAATGTTCCTTCCTGCTGTAAAATGTCCTCATTTAAGGGATGCATAGGAAACTGTGCCAGAAAAATCTATTCCATTGAGGAAGATTTGCTGAGTTTAAACAAAAGAAAGAAAGAGAAGGAAGAGGAGAGAAGGGAAGGAAAAGAAAGGAAAGAAAAGTCTTGCTCAGGTATTATCAAGAGTTGTCATGTCTTCAACTCCTGCCATCAAGGAGCCCTCTGTGGCACAATGAGCTCTTATTTCCAGCACATGCTGACACCACTGATCCCAGACCCAATTTAGCCTCGGTTTGTTACAGAGAACAGAGCATGGCCTTTGTCCTAAACCTCCTCTCTGTGTCATACTATGACAGATTCCCAACTGCAGAGGGAGGAAGAGTCCCCTGAACAACACCACGAGGCTTATAACTATGGCGCTAGCTAATTAAAGGCTTAAAGAAACCAGCTACACTGAGAAGGATCCAGGAACGCAAGGCGTAAAAGGAAACAGGTTGTGACAATAGGAATTAATGAAAATAACAAGAGCTGTACCATTCGATGAAAAGATACCGTCCCCCTTCAGGGTGAGATGCTCACGACCTGCTGAGAGTGCACCCCTGTGACACAGTGTCTCTAAAGGACAGAGCTGAAAGCTGCAGCTGAGAGGCTGGTGTTAGTTCACCTGGAGGGGTGTGCGGAGCCTCACGGAGAGCCTGGCACTGCCTTTGTTCGCCTCAATTATCCTCTTTAATAATGATAACGATTGCCGGTGTGTAAGTGCCTGTCCTAGAACTCTGAGCTTCCCAAGCGATGTTTCATTAACCCTCACAGCAACCCTGCGAGGTAGGCATTAGTATCCTCCCATTTTACAAGCGAGGAGATTAAGGATCTTTTTGCTGTGGCCACGGAGGTGGGAAAGCTCAGGTCTTCGGGGTTTCAAAGCCATGCTCCTGACCCCTGCATTCCACTGCCGCCATTCGCAGTCACTGGCACTTAGGGGCACCTGCCTCTACGCCCTCCTTGACCCTAAGGCTGACTCGTTAGAGAGCTAGACTGCAAGCCTGCCCTCCCCAAACACTCAAACCAGGAGGGATGGCAGGACACGCCCACAAGCACAGGGCCTGTGGGGCCATCCGTCACATCCTCACTGAATCCCAGGACACACTATACTGAACGGCACAGAGGAAAAACGAAGCAGCGGGAGCGGGGAGGGAAGCAGCAAGAAAGGGAGGAAGGCTCAAGCCCTAACCCCAGCTCATCAGATAAAGGAGCCAATCAGCCCTTACAATCCACAGACAGGCCGATGCCATGCAGGCTCCAGAAGCTGGCCCCAGGCTCCCTGACAGCAACTCCATCACCACAGAGATGCTTGTCCTGTTAGTAAATGCCAAGGGTTTCTGTGGAACGTGTGCATTTCGTTTTAAATCAACTCACTGGCCATGCTTTTCCTCCGTGAGCCCTGGTGTATGAGAGGATGTAGAGCTACTAGGGGAGCAGGTTTAAAAGCATGGAAGAGTCAACTCAGAGCTGCAAAAACCCCATCCTTGCTGCAGGGTTGTCATCCTGAAACCCTGCCCCACCCCACTCTGGGCCCCTCAGGGGCCTGGCTCAGGTGGTAGAAACATGGCGGGCTTACCAGGAGCGGGAGCGGGTGGGGCGACGGGGGCGTTTTCACTTTTAGAGGCTTCACATTCCTTTAGCTTGTTCTTCAGAGTCACGATATCCCGGCGAATGGCAAGAACGTTGTTTTTGTCTAGCGTCTCGAGCTTCTCTACCAGGAGAGTCATATTCCTTATCTGAGGAAATAAAAATTCAGAGTGACTTTATATTATTGTGCAATTTCTTCCATAAACATTCCAGGGCTGAATTTGTCACTTAGTGAAACATTGCAGGAGAATCCACCCGAGATTCCTCTGAATGGTTTCATTGGGAAGAATACATTTTATGGTTTAGCGTGAATGCCTGTCAGGTCTCAGGCAGATGTGTGTGACGAAAAGAAAATGGTGAAGGTTTTTAACAGCTTTAATAATAGAGCACAGGCTCAGTCTCAGCACCCACCAATGTCCATTAAAGTTCGTTTCTAATAACCTCTCCCTATAAACTCGTGTTTACTCGTGTTGTATCATAATTAAGTTGCTAATGAATGGTGAGGGCTGGAGAAAACTTAAATTCTAAAATATATAACTAGAATTCTCAGTTATAGCCCATGTCATGACTGCACTGGTAAATTTTCATTGATATAAATTATCTGGCCATAATATTAATGTCTGGATAAATAGTCATTATCCACAGAGCTTCAAAGGCTTCACTACAACATACGCAGAAGAAACTCCATTAAAAAGAGTTGCCAGTATGTGCAGACAATTTCCAAGAGGGGTCAAGGATTACATGATCATTCAAACAGAGAAACACACCTCGCAAGTCCAAAATCAGGTAAATGGTGGCTTTCTAGTCCCATGAGCGTAAAACCAGAACAGAGAGGAGACACTTGATCTATTATAGCATGATCATAGAGTTGTTCAGAGTCACACCATCTGTTTTCTAGGGACACTGAAAGGCCATTTGGTTCTGGGGCAGGACACTGAACATTAATTGATACCTGCTCTTCAGTCAACATGTCCCCAGTGTGCTTAGCTTGCTATTCAGACAGTCATCCATCTAAAGCAGAACACGTGTTATGCCATGTGGTCGGGAGAGAGTTCAGAATTAGACGTCAGGGGAGAGAGGTTCATCTCTGGGTCCTAGCACTGATCATGGAAGGGTTTTATTGTTAACACACTGAGAAGTAATTTCACTCCTTACCTCTACTTCCAGCTGGTCAACAATTTCTGAGCTCCCAGAAAAACCATCCTTCAGCCGGATGATCAATTTCTCCATCTCCTTCACTTCTAACTTGATCAGCTCAAAGTCCAATTCAGTGTAAGAAATGCTATCTTTTTCCATGATCTCGACTCGGACAGTTAGGTTTACGAGTTTCTTTTCATAGATTCTGATTAATTGGACATACTCCTTCACCTAAAAGGGAATCAGAAAGTTCAAGTCAGTTTCCAGGGTAATATCATACAGTCTTTCTCCACTACCATGCCCTTGGGGGCTATTTGATTGCCGTCAGTCATGTTCTACAAAAAGAAATGGATCAAAATATATTTAACTATATATTTTTTAATCTCTCCAAATATAAAATTATTACTACAGTTGGGAGGATAGATTTTGTACTTGCATAAAGTAATTTTGCTTTAGAATCATCGTTCACAAGTACATTTTCATCCCCATTTTAATGTTTGAACATATCAGCTCTCCAAACTAAACTGGTTTGAATCAGAGTCTCTTGCCCACCCTCTTTTCTCAAAGCACATGCTGTAAGTCAGGGATTCCCAACCTCAGCACTATTGACATTTGAGGCTGCATGGTTCAGGGCGGCAGGTGGGGGGAGTGCTTTCTTGTGTCTTATAAGATGTTTAGCAGCATCCCTGTATTCTAGATGCCAATAGCACCCACCCATCCCCCACTGTGACAACCAAAAATGTCCCAGAGATTGCTAGGTGTTCCTGGGGGGACAAAATCACCACCACCACCCTCCCTTCATTTATAACCACTGCTCTAAATCTAAGTATTTTCTAGAAGGAGGAGAAATGCAGTAAGTAGAATCCTTTCTGTGCTCACCATATGCATTGAATTTTGAGCCCCTTTGCCTTTTACAAAGTGACGTAAGGACTCGACCTCCCTCACAGTGTGTATGTGTACAACTGTGAAGTGCACATTTCATTAAGTGCACCCACATTTATTCCGAGAACTGATTATTGCAATCAGACCTTTAAATTACACATTTGTTGCATATATTTGAATGTCTGATCATTAAGTTAAAATACTTCCAAAAATTCCCTTGGTGGTTTAGTGTATAATTGGATCTCCAAATGGATATTTCAATAAACACCGCTGGTGGTTTTTTCTGTGTCTGATCTCTGAAAGAAGTGCCATGGCTTTTTCAAGGACCTGCTCATTAAAAGTTGCTTGTTTGACAGTCTTTTCAAAAATTGGAACCTAAGTGATACTTTTCCCACACTGTGCTAATGTCAAGTAGCCGTCCACAGAGCCGAGAGGGGTTCAGAGCCAGATGTTGGCTTCTAATCCTTCGACTACTAAAGCAGCCCTACCTTCTGTCATGTCAGCCGTTCCACTTAACCCCACTGTGCAAATCAGTATAGACTCATAGGCCACAGACCGAAAGGGCTAGGGCTTCAGGCAAAGAGGATTTTAATGAAAGTTGAAAATACAGCCTTTGGCGCTGCTGGTGTATCTCCTCGGGCAACTGATGTTCACTCCATCAGATGTGCCATTGGAGAATGATAAAGCTGGTGACATCTGGACAGACAAGGAGGCTAAAAAAATATAAAAACCTAACAAGTTACCCTTAAAAGTACAAACACAGATTTAGGGTAGCTAGGTTTCAGTTTCTAAAAAAAAAAAGAAACAACCACACACACAAAAAAAATCAGGCATAAAACCTTGCCTGTGATAAAATAATAATAATAATGATAATGATAATGAAATGTCAATCCATTTTTGCAAATGGAAGTTTGCAAAATGAATACTGAAGTTGGCATTTGGTCTTGCCAGCTCCTGGGACAAATGAAACACCCTCCGCTTTCCTGGAACATTTTGGTGGCACGTCGCAGCTGTTGTTCTACAGACGTGAGTGATTCAACTGTCATCTCTGCTAAATAAAGTGTGGCTGTCACTGAAAACCAAGGCATAACCTGAAGTTTGCTACCTATGAGAATTTGTGGTATTTGACCACAAAATGAAGGGTCTCTATTTGGGAAAAAGCTTACGTTCTTTCAGCTGACATCATCTAAAGGAAACTTCAGTGATATTCAGGAAAACTGCAATTATCCATGAAGTTATGGAAGGCAGGGAGAATTTGAAGATGGGCCAGAAAAACTTCAGTGTGAACTTTATTTTATTTTATTTTATTTTTTTAGCTGAGCCATCCTGCCACCTGTTGGCAGCTCAGCGGCAGCTCAGCTCGGGCCGGGACTCAAACCGCTGTTGCTCAGAGCTCACACCCTTGAGCAAGCTGTTAACCAACTAAGCCACTCGGCCGGCCCAAACTTTACCAATTTAAGTATATTGCTAGCATAAACCTTTCATGTGTACGGATCTCTAGTCTTGAGATGGCATGGAAAATTCTGAGAACATCCCTGTTCTCTCTGTAGCTTCTGTCTTAGCAGAGGCAGCCTAATTTGCCCAGAATGTGTAGCAAGAATATGGGTCTAACCCTAAGGGGACACATCCCTGTGTCAATCTCTCTACCACAAGGCTCTCTATCACTGCAAGTTTGAACTTTAGAAGGCTCATCTACACCTGCCTTCAAACCACCAGCCTCAACTTGGAGCTTCCTTCTTTTATTTGTTGTGCACATATCATCTCATTGATGGGTTGTGAAAATCAAAGTTTGTTTGCGGATTTGTTCTAGAGTGTTTGTTGTTCTGTACAATAAACGTGGTCTTATAATAAATAAGGATGCAATACAGTAGGCTTTTAAGCTAAAGAATTAGTCTGGCTCAGGCTGGCCGAGTGGCTCAGTTGGTTAAGAGCAGGAGCTCTGAGCAACAGCGTCGCCGGTTTGATTCCCACATGGGCCAGTGAGCTGCGCCCGAGCTGAGCTGTCGCTGAGCTGCCAACAGGTGGCAGGGTGGCTTAGCTGGTGAGAATGCATGCTCCTAACAACAAGGTTGCCAATTTGACTCCCGCATGGGATGGTGGGCATCTACAGCTAAGACTGAACATGACACCTTGAGCTGAGCAGCTGTGAGCTGCCAATAGCAGCCAGATGGTGACTGGACTTGCAGCTGAGCTAGCTGTGCCTCCAACAACTAAGACTGAAGGACAACAACTTGGCTGTTCCCCTTCCCCAATTCTCCAACACTGTTCGCCTTCCCCAATAAAATCTTAAAATAAAAAAAAATTTTTTTAAAGTTAGTCTGGCTCAAGTTTCTGTCAGTTCCCCAAAATCTATGATGATAACTGTGGCCACATTATTTGAAATAAGTAAATGTACTTTGCAGCATACTCTTATTTTAACATATCTTTAAAAATAAATGCAACCAGATTGAATGAGCTTGAATTGACCATCACAACAGATGAAGCACTTCAGAGCTCCACCCGCCTAAACTCTAATCTGACCAGTACTTAGTGGGCAAATCAATCTCTAGCCTTAGTTTCCTCCTATAAATTGGGGTAACGGTATCACACTTCCAAGATTATTGTGAAGACTAGAGATAATATATATTAAGTACCTAGCCTCATGGATACCCTATAAATTACAGCAATTATTAGAGAAACAGTGATTTCAGTTTTGTTTTGCTTTCAATCTGACCTTTTCATTTATTATATTTCACTGCACCAAACATTGCTCAGTCAATGTTGTTTGTTTATGGGTGGCCTAAATGTCTCGCAGGCTACCCTCAACCTTCATGTGCATGAGGCTCTATTTGCAAATGCTTGGTATTCAATAACTTGCCCCCAAAACCATAACCTTCCAGGAAAAAATAAAATCCTGAGCTGCCTTTTGTGTCATCCCCTTTCTAAGGATAGTCACAAGAAGACATGTCATAAACAACAGAAAAGTATAAAATGCTTTCGGCATCTGAGGTAGAGACGTAAGTCTTTTCTGTGCACTGGCAGATAATGAATCAATGTAAGGCAGTCAAAACCCTTTCCTACTGGCCCGCCTAAGCGGACATTCCCCCAGGCCTCTGGATAAATGGTGACTTCCAAGGTAACCTAGGGACAGCTATAATAATTCACCTGCAAATTCAAAAGCCCTCAGCTGAGGAGATAACTTTGGATTTGAAGGCATTAGTGACCTACTGCATCTCTTCTTGGGTCTGCCCTGGAGGATGGTAACAGCATAGCTGAGAGAAAAGAGAGCTGAGATTAATTCTGAAGATTCAAGCTCCTGACCTGGCTTAAGTAGCCTTTACACTTAGGTCTCTTTACCTTCATGAGCCTCAGTTTTCCCGTCCCTAAAATGGGAAGGAGAACATGGGCCTATCTGCCTTAAAAAGTGGCTTGAGAGTAGAATAGAAGTGGAAGCATTTAGAAAAGCACAAGCATAACATGTCACTATTATTGTTGTTATCATCTGTCACACGGATCTATTGTGCAAATCTCAGCTGGTAGGATAATTCCTTTCTTACGTAGGTCTCAGTCACAATTTTTTTTAGGACCAGCTACTGACATTTTCAAAGTAAAAGCTTTCCCACCTACTTTGCACTTCTCCCCTGCCAATGATAAGCAAAGCAGATGCCACCTGCCACCCACCTCCCTCACAGAAATGGAATTACTGGTCCCATACTCACAAACCTGGCAAGCTACACCCCTCCCTAGAGAAGCTTGGAGTTTCACACTGCCCTTCACACGCCTGCCAGCAAAAAAGACATGCAAATCAGTAGCTCCCACTATTTCAAAGCAAATGACTAACTGAAAAGATCTTTACCTAGGATTTTCCTGTGCTTGTTATGTTTTTATGCATAACTTCTTATCTGTACTTGATTATGCTGGAATAAGGCTATGAATATTAATGGCTGGAATTTATAATTTAGTGCTGTGCCTTTTCTGCTGATTAATTCAAGGACATTTTATTTCTTAAAAAGCTAGGTTCCTGAAGTAGTAAAATACATTTTCCTGGACACTCACTTAAATTTAGAATATTTATCTACCAATTCAGGTTGAAAGCAGGGTGTCAGCCTCACCATAATTTTTATCTTAAAGGATAACTGTGCTGGATGTTATGGTAGCTAAACTTCAATTTCTCAGGAAAACTTATTTTGAATATGGAAGGAAAGCCACAGCTCCTTGTAAATTCATGGAGTTGTATTAAATTATGTATAATGTGATTATAGCCTAGCGTGGGCTTCACCTATGCAGAAAATGGGAGTCTTTCTAATTGATTTTTAACTTGGCTAAAAAGGTAGAAAGGTCAAAACTGGAGCAAGTCCCACTGGTCCAGTTAGCTCACAGAAAGGCAAATCCTGTAAGATAACTCCCGCCACTAGAGGAAAGCAGTAATCAGGGGGTTTGAGGCAAGGTCTTTACCAAGGCTGAGTGACCTATTAGTTTTGAATCAAACTCCCAGACAAGCCTTCAGTTTTGGTCTAATGCTAGACACGGCTAATGTAATACTGCTGCTGAGACAATAGAAAATAACTACCAAGAAAAAGAGAGGGAGACGAAGAGAAGAAATTGGAAAGAGGAAATAAGAAGAGAAAGAAAAAGAGGAAGGAGGCTAAGAGGCAGAAGATTTGAGGACATGAAGAGGAGGAGAAGGAAGAGAAAGAGAAAGAGAGGGCCAAAAAGAGTTTATAAAAAAAAAAAAAACTCAAGAAGGAAAGGGAGAGATTAGGAGGCATGAACAAGGGAAAAGACTGAAGCAAGGGGGGAAACACATTTTTTTTTTAAAGGGAAGGAGGAATGGAATAGGAATAGGAAGAAAAAGTGGAAGAGAAGGAAGAGAAAACATACAGAGGACAGCAGACAGGAAAGAAAGCCAGACTAAAAAGAAAAGGAAGGAAAAAACAATAAAACAAAATAAAAATTGCGGAGTCGGGGTTTGCAGGGAGAGCTCGACTCCTTTTTCCTGCCTCACGAGCACCGCAATACTGAAGTGAGTTTATCCATGGCGGGAATCATCTCAATCTCATTTTCTTCCTTGTGCCCTCATTTTTTTCTGCTATAAAGAACTCCACAGGTGTGCTGTAAATAAATGCTAAAGTCTCCATAGGATGCAAAAACGTGCTGTCTTTGGAACGGTGAAGAACGGCTGCTTGTAAAGTCCTGAATAAAAAGTGTTTTGTGAACGAACAAAACAAACTCATAGATACAGACAACAGAATGGTGGTTCCAGAGATGAAGGAGGTGGGGGGAGGGAGAGGTGGGTAAGGTGAGGGGCGGGGTTCAAATTTATGGTAATGGAAGGAAACCAAATTCTGGGTAATAAACACACCATAGGTACTCAAAGTCAAATTATCATGTACACTTGAAAATTATATAATGTTATTAACTAATGTTAATCCCGATACACTTCATCTTTAAAAAGTGTTTCATTTTGCCTGTTTGTTCTTATTAAGATATCGTTGGAAGAGGGAAAATGTGCTTACTTTAGAAAGCTCTTTCTGGTACTTCTCAGAGAGAATGTGAGCCGTGAATTCCAAGCGTTCCACTCTCTCCACTGGGAAGGTGTTGTCTGGCAGAGCGACGGAGCACACGCAGGTCCCACGGTCATCCTTGGAGCCAGTGAAATTGGAAAACGACTGTAAATAAAAGTAAGTTCAACATCAGTCATAAGTTGAGAAATGAGCTTTTTGGCAACTGGAGTGACAGAAATTGGCTTGTCAAAAAAGAGCTTAGAGGCAAGCAAGTGGAGTCCAATAAATAAATGAATAGAAGCATAGAAACCAAGCAAAAACCGCCATGTTTCACAGGCAGGGTCTACACTTGGCATCTTAGCCACATCTATCTCCAGCGGTTGGGTTAAACCGCTATATCACCCGTTTTATCCAAAGAACATTATCTTTTCCTGAAGTCTTAAAGGAAATTATCACTGTCCCTATGTAAGGGACAGGAAATAAAGAATTGATGAGAGCTCTCAGTTTGATTGCCAAATCTACCATTTGCTGGATGTGAACTCCTCTGTGAAACGGACAAAACCTGCTCTACAGAACCGTCCTCCAGGGTATCCACATAAGGTCAGCCAAGACCCTGGCACATACATGGTAGGTGACCCATAAATGTCAGTCTCCTTTTCCTTTTACGTTCTCATTCTCTTTTCCTCTCCTTTACCCCAACCCCAACCCAATTCCTCCCAGTAGGAACGAGGGAAAAAACATCAAGGGTATGGGTCACAGTGAAAATATACGATGCAAATTCACATCCTTCTCTTCACCTGGGAAATTGTGTAATTACCATCCTTCAAAATGGAAACAAACCAGCCATTTGTTAAAAACTAAACAATGTGGGAGTCTGAAGGTTTTGAGCAATTTTTTAAAAAGTTGTGCCGCTTACCACTTGCAGAAAAGTCATTTTGAAATATTTGATGTTTCTTTAAAATATTCAGGCTCACATTTCAGTGCCGCTGCATATTTTTAAAATGACAGGTTTGAAAGATCCTGTTTTTCTTTTGTCCCCTTTGAACTTCCCCAAAGGGATTCCACCACAATTAACACTTTTTTTTATTATTATTACTACTATTGCCTAACAGAGTAACTCTTGGCAGCCAACTGACTCTGCCTTTCAGTGACCTCATGGGATGGCCGGGGCCGGCCCAAAGCTCACCTGAGGAACATCAGCCTGAAGTGTCTCTTTCTGAAACTACCGAGGGGAGAGAACAGTTTGCAGTTTGAAAGGGACCCGGGCTACGCCTCTCAAGGTTTAGAAGGTCAGCTGGCTGCAGCTGAGATTGTGTGCTCTGTGTGTTTAATGTCTACCAACCTGCACAATTTCCAAAGAGGATGGACCTGGAGGCTTCCACAATCAATTTTATTCCAACGGTGACCTCTGGACCAATTAATTCAGGCTTTTGGAATGAAGTTGCTTATTGATTTAACCTAATCTTCTTTAAGATGAGCAGAAAGAATATATGTATACGATTTGTACCCCAAATTCTCTGTGCCAAGTAAATTCCTGAAAATGGACTCAAATTTCTTTGCCAATCACACCCTACACCTGCAGGAATTGGGGAGTAAGGAGGAGGGACAAGCAGGTTTATGCTGAACACCAGGCCTGGGAGTGGACAAGGGGAGGGTCTTTGCCGGGATGAGTGAGGCCTGGACAAGCTACCCTGTCAGAGAGGCCAGCTTCCCTTGGAACCAGCATTCTCATTCCCTCTGAGGGTAGAAAGACTGCAGCTCAAGCATGGCCACCGCTTTTACAGAAGGACCAATATATCATGGACTCTTGAAGAAATAGCTTATTATAATAACTGTCTACAAAAAAAAAAAAAGTCTTGCATTGCATTCTGACAAGGGAAGGTTAATTAGCTACACAAGGCAGGGTGGGACCATTCTCCGAGTCCTCCGAAAAGCTCTGTCAACTCAAAAAACAGTGAAGATCATCAAGCAGTCTCAGTCAATCAACTAGAAACCACCTGCTAACAACTTTTAATCCTGAAGTTCACCTGAAAGGCAGGCAAATAATTATAGCCCTGCTGACAGTCGTTCCACCGGCATCTGCTGACCATCTCCGTCCCAGTGCTCTGGGCTCCCCAGCCGCCATCCTGCTTATCATCAGCCCAGCATGCTGAGCTGACATCAAAATGGTCCATAAGTTTGATCAGTGTCTCCCATTAGAGGTATTTCTGCTCCTCTCATTCAGAGACAATGAAGCTAATGGTGATGGGTCTCTCTCTGTGGTGAATGCTTAAACTCTATGTGAGTGTAACGTGGGCATGGGAGGCAAAGACAAGTGCTTGTCCCTTTGGTTATCGGGAGGGTATGTGACCCCCTTGTGGAGGGCAAATAGGACCCTGTGTGCCCCACGAAACACCTAACAGTGGTAGGTCCTCCCTCACTCAACATGTGTTCAATTAACATCCACTGGTGTCGACCACAAGCCAGGCTCTGGCGTTAGGGAGACAGACAAAGCCGGACTCCTGCCCAGTGAATGGGGCCTGTTTTCATGATGAAAGTCTGGGTTGTCTACTTTGTCATCAAGCCCCTTAGCCTGATGACAAAAGCACATGATTCATTCTGGTCCTGACTCTGCCAGTTGTGGAGCAGAGCATGGAGCCTTTCCTCACCGGTGAAACAGGGACCCTGATGGCAGTCCCTTCGTTGGAGAGTGACATCTGAGGCACGTAGAGCACTACAGCGGAAGGTGTGACTTCCATTTGTGATGTGAGGTTGCAATAGGCTCTAATTAGCAGCCAAGCCTAAGTGCCTACAAAGACTCAAGGCTTAAAATAATGGTACTCAACATTTTCAAAGTACAGAAAATGATACATTTGGAGCTTGCTCAATGCCAGTTATAAAGGGGTTCTCCATCACTCTCCGAAGAGCTCATCAAGCTGACAGGCAGCCCTAGAAAATTGGGTGAATAGTGGAAGTGACACCTCGTCCGCTGTATAAAAGTTGTGACATTGACTCACCAGAGGAAGATAAGTAAACCAGGAAGGAAATTAAAACCTCTAAGTGCAATTTAACTACCATTTCTTATCTACGTTTAAATATTTATCTCCTTACCAGATAACAAGCAGTTTGGATTTCTCTGTTTCACAACCTATAATTTATTTTTCTGTTATTTTAGCTGATCGTTTTCCTCAAATGCTGATTTCTGATTGGTGATGAAGCTTCAAAATAAATTATTATTGTTTACAATAATGAATACCTCATTTTTTTAAAAAATGCTCACAAGTTCTGATTGGCCCCATGAAAATCATTTATTGTCATGAAATAAAATGATGCATCTGATTTCTTTCTACAAAGAATCTTTGAGCATATCATGATTCCCAAAGTGTTCTCCTGTTAAAGATTTCATCTATACTCCTTAAAAATACAGAAAGCTGCATACAGGGAGATGGTCAAAAGCATGGGCAGACTTACATTTGAGCTGTAGAACGTGCTAGTTTAGTGACCTTAAGCCAATGGCTTCACCTCTCTAAGCCTCAGTTTTCACATCTCTAAAATGGATCATTAATTTTATCTCTCTCTTAAGGTTAAATAAGATAATATGTATTATGTACTTAACGTAATCCTACCATGAACACCATTGCTGCCATTTCTATCTGGGTCCTATCCAAACCATCTGTTAATCAATAAATTTGTATTGCCTTGTATATAGTCCTGATGGTGAAAAGAAAAACAACAAACAAAAGCCTTTTGCCCCCCTTTTCCCATTGGCCCTTCCATTCAGTCATGGTCATCTAAGCCGTGGCCCCACCTGTGAGTAAAGATCATAGAAACGCAACGGGATGCGCTCTGGGGAGTTAAGACTCCCCTCCCCCAAGTCACAACTTAGCAGGGAAAGCCTAAGTTTTGCAGAGCAGAGCTCCTACCGAAAGGCCCAGAGCTGAGGCGGGCAGGGGTGAAGTGAGGAGCTGCTTCCTGCTCCCTAACCTCTCACCTCCCCAGGCCTCCTCCCACTTCCTTAAAGTAGGTCCAGAGGATGCGTCCTCCAAAGGACTGGGCTCACTACGGGTGCTAGTGACATAGCGTTTGGCTAGACCAGTCCCTTTCTAATGCATGGTTTCGTTGGTTGGTTGGTTGGTTTGTCGCTACTTCTGTTATTGTTTTGAGCTGGAAATGGTTCTAAATATTCCCTGTGAGGAAAACTGAAAAAAAAACTATTACTCTCCCAGGGAAATACCCATGTGTGATAGCACTTTCCTAGAGACCAATGCCTCCTCCCCGCCTTCTGTCACCCGTCTCCTTTACCAGCAAGGCTCAGAGAAACTCAGCACTCCGACCAGAGCACTGGGGCTCTTCCTCCCTCCAGGGTACCCTTCGCCATCTGCAGGGCCCCTGCTGGGCAGCAGATCAACTGAACAAGCTTTCTGGAGCCACTGCTGGTGGGGTCCCTTCCCTAACAGTTCTCATCGGTCAGAGAAACTGCACACCTCTATTTGCCAATCTCGCCGCCCTGCCCCCCCTTCTAAAGGGCAGGCAGGCTAGAGACCCCCTTAAAAGCCTAGATTGTTTCCTGAAAGTCCCTCACCGGCACACCGACACGTCTCATCTCTCTTGCTAACAATTTAATTATTCCACCCAGGTTTTCATTCATTTTCATGGCTCCTACAGTTAACAAAGGGAGTTGTAAATCTTTGAGAGTGCTCAGGTCTAGCCATCCATGAAATTATATTCAGGTCCCCAAAAAGTGAGAGGAAGGGGATGAATGCAGCTCTCAGGCTCTGGGGCCTGCTCACCTGGGTCCCAGAGCCAGAACCAGACCTGGTGTTGAAGCTGCTGCCAGATCTGGAGCCAGAGAGGAAGCTGGAAGTGAAGTCAGGCTGGAGCAAGGCGGTGGTCCTCGGCACAGGGGTCAGGGTCACCGAGTCCCCTGTGGCTGAGCCCAGGAGGGACAGAAGGGCCAGCAGGAAGAAGCCAAGACACATCTTGTGCTGTTGGCTGGAGCCACTAGCTTCTGCACAGAGCCCAGCCCAGGGGGTTCTTATAGTGCCCAGTGGGGATTTCCCCATGGCCAGTTTGTGGGGAAAGAGGAAACCACCAAGGAGCACGTGACAGCCCCGGGAGGGTCAGGGCACCCAGGAACCTGAGTCACCGCCACGCGTGGTCTCTGAGCTCCCGCTCTGTCAGCTGCCCTTCAATTTGGTTATCTCCTGCCAAATATTATCTCAAACATGCTTTTTTAAGCCTAATATCTGGTTTCCAACTTGATACTTCCTTGAAAGGGACCAAATCAAAGTAGTCTTTGTGGGTGAGACAAAGTTTTTGGCCCCAGGATGCAGAGGCAACCCTGAGTCCTGTGCCCAGAAATCACTGCTGGTGGCCCATTTCACTGAATGCTGCTCCCCAGAGTACGGCAGGGAGCTCAGTTTAGAAACTGTGACTGTCCCCAGAGTGTGATTCCCTCTTTAGATGCTACTGGCCAGCTTGTCTCTGTCCTCTCCCTTGCAGTGTCTGCCTCTAGACCAAGTTTTCTCAACAACCCCACACTGAAGGAGGGACCAGCAGTGGAAATTCAGCTAGGGCTCTCTACACATCAAGTACACACCCCTGTGGGATCCAGGGAGAAGAAAGAGCCCCAAACTGGGGGCTGCTCCAGACCCAGTCAGGGAGGCCCCCGCTGAGCAGTTCCCCCTCCAGAGGGCTCTGTCTGACCTCCATTGTCCCAGATCCTCCTGCGAGCCCATCAGCTTCAGCCGGTCAAGAGCTCGAGGCTTATTCATCTGAAGCTGAGAGATGATGCGTCTTTAGGCTCCATTTGCACCTCTCCAATGCTTCCCACACCTTTGTACCCTCTGCCTTCTTCCCTGCAGAGTGAAAAAGGTATTGGCCTGAATATTAAACACCAGCTCTGTCACTCAGTCGGTGGCCTTTGCAAGTCATTCAGCCCCTCTAGTGTTGTAACCATTTCTAAATTGTTAGAATTAAATACAATATTATATGGGGAGTTGCTCATAAGCTTTAAAGTGCTATACGAATGTCAGATTTTTGTGCTCTTTGTCTTTGTTGATTTGTTTTCAATTTCCTAAAGCCTGGCTCCATTTGTAGTAAGGTTGCTGTTGGGTTCACACCAGGGAAATAAGGTCCCTGCCCCCCCACCTTCATCTCTGTGCACCCCAGAAGCGTTGGGAAGGCCTAGTTTGAAGGGTTCTTTCACCTCCTGGGCTCCACACGCCTCTCAGAATAAATACTGTGCTAATGTGAGAAGCAGTCTTAAACCCTTGGTAAACTAGTCAGATACTCAGGGGAGAGAAGAGGCAGGAAAATAAGGAAGAATAAATGGAGAATGAAGACAGAGAAGAGATGGGGGGAAAGGAGAAAGAAGGACACAAGGCTCTGTTGGGTGTACCCAAGGTGCACTGGGGCTGCATCCCTGGACCAGTGTCCCCTGACCCGGAAGGCTGAGAGGACACCCCACTTAGATCAATCTCCCCAACCTTAGGACCCACACTGCCCCAGCCATCCAGGCTGTCATTGCTGCCTCCACATTGAAACACACCTTCAAGCCACACAGGGTGGGTGTCTTCTCAGGCCACGCCCACCCCTGTGTTCAGGTAGCTGCGGTGATTAGGGGTGGTTGGAGTAAACCCAGGACAGAGCATTCTCCCAGAAGCTTTCTGGAAACAATAGGGTCTACCTCCATATCTGCTCCAAAGTGAATTCGTGGTGAAGACTGAGGTCACGGGCAGGCGATCCACGGCAGGAGGAGCGTTTGGAAGCCCCACCTCTCATATTCTGCCTATGTAGGGTTGCCAGGTTTAGCTGACAAAAATACAGGACACCCAGTCCAATGGGAATTTCAAATAAATGACAAATCATTTTTTTAGTATACATCCACTGCAATATTTGGAACATACTTATGCCAAAATAATATATGTTGTTTAGTTCACATCGAAATTTAACTGGATGGCCTGTATTTTATCTGGGAACCCGACTGAGGAGGCTGCTTGCTCCACTTCAGCAGAGCCTCCTGGGGCAGGATGTCAGCCGTGAAGTTCAGCCTTGGCCTCTTTGGCTGAATGTTCTAGCCACTTAGACGCCGAGTGCAAGACAGGAAAAGCAAGTGTAAGGATGAAAAATGGGTACACTGAATCCATTACGCAGTAATTGAATGCTATGAATATGGATGTAGGAAGAGAGCTTTTTCTTCCTCCCATCACAGCTCCCCTCTCCCTCCTGATTCCCAGCAAAGGGCAAAACCTCACCTTATTTCCTAGTGGCCTCTGTCTGTGGCTATAATGAGCTTTCCTCGTCCCTTTTTTTCAAGGAGGACATCAGTGCCCTTGTCAGGAAAAAATAAATAAAAAGAAAAAACTCATTAAAAATGGTAGCCCATTGAGGGGCTTCTATGACGAATCCTTTAGGAGACCCCTTTCCCGAAGGGTTGCATTCCTGCAGGAATGAGGCAGCAATTCTCCCAACCACAAATGTCCCCCAACCAGGGAAGAACCACCCCCAACTTCTCACTCCCTGCCAACCCCAATGCGCCTAAGCTGCTTTGTTCCTATATGCTTGTATCATTTTGGGAATAAAACTTTGATCTATTTGGTAGCCTCAGAAGCACAAAAGCATTGGTGGTGCCTCAGGGATGAGATTATTAATAATAATAGTGTGATCAGTGCCTCTGCAAATACCTTTGTCCTAAGAAACAATAAGCCGTCTGGTTATCTGACAGCCTCAAAAACAGGAGGAAATTACTAGCCGACCAAAGCAAATAGCGTATTATTATAAAAATGTGTTCTGACACTGGGCTCCCTCTAGAGGAAGGGGTCACTGAAATTCGCTTGAGTAACAGCATCCTCAGTGACAGCATGAAGGAAAGTTACTATTTATACACTTCATTAGAATTCCTGTACTTCGTGAACAGTTGTGACACACAGGAAAGATATCCATACAGACAGACCCTTCATTTAATCCCCCATCATACAAAACCAATGCCAAACATATTGCGGTACCTTCAGAAGAGAGTGTCTTTAGGGTATCTGGTGTAGAAAAGGACTATAGAGACCATGTTTTGTCTACAGACTGACTTACAGAGGCTGTGTTGGGGTGACTCTTTCATGTCCGTTGACTCCATCCCCCAAATCCCTCAAATTCTTATTAACAATACCAGGAATCTTATATAAAAATACTTAACAACTGACACCATTCATGCGCCCTGGAAAGAAGGTCAGCAGTGTGTCTTGGGCCCCACTCTGTACAAAGTACCAGGCCCTATGAAGAGCTATAAGGAAAGAAGAAAGCATAATTTTTGTTAATAAAAATGTCTAGTCATTTAGGGGAGGCAGGCCACTTCAGAAAATATACTAAGAATAAAAACAACAAATTGAACACAAAACTATTACATGGAACACTGAAGAATGACTGGATTGACAGTGGGGGACCAATCGGGTGGGTTGATGTGAAAAGAATTCTCCAGGTAGTGAGCTTCTTGAGGATGAAGATGAAGGACTTAATTGGTTTTGAATCTCCAGCATGTAGCTCGGTGCTTAGTATTTGGTGCCCCATAAACATCTGCACACTGAAGGAATATATGTAATAATTATATGAATGAATGAATTGATTTAATAAGAATTGTGAAGGAAATTATTAAGCTACTAGTGGAGAAAATATAAATTTTTTAGATTAGCATTGGAGGAAAGGGGGTAAGTGCCAAGCAGGAGAAATGACATGAGGAAAAGAACTCACGCAACCTGAGTTCTCTGCAGTGTCATGCTGAGAATTACGACCAAGCCCCCACACTAGCAGAGCCAACACTAGCAACCTCCTGGAATCAGAGTTCCTAAAGGTGTTCCTCAGCCTGGCCCAGCCTCCAAATCAACAATTTCCTGAGCATATCCTATATCTGGAGCTACCTAGATTTAGCCATCCCCATCATGGCTTAGATTCAAACCCCAAAATATAGAATGTGCAACCAAATACTTAGGTTTTCAACCTGCTGCAAAATCGACAACACCACCAAGATGCTGAGCCAAGCTGCTGAAAAGCTCGACTGATGGAACCAGTGCAAAGTTCTGGCAGTGCTGAAAAGAAACCACAACAGGGTGTTGGATGGTAACATAGAGTAATGTTTTAGAAGAAAAAAAGAGAAACTTCACATATTCTAAGGCAATGTTTGGACTAATGAGCCACAAGAGTGCTCAGCAGTGTTTCCTTCAGGGACGACAGTGTGGAGCCAAAAACCACAGCCACCACTGGGGTAGAGGGACTCAGGGGACACGACACCTCAGGCACATTTATCTCTGGACCCCACCAGAGAGAGTCTCTGCCCAGAGACCTAGGACCACGGGCTGCCACCTAAATTCCTCTTGCCATCTCCCATTGAGGTACACCTCACTGCATGCCACAACACGAGCTATCCACACCCATTGAATTTTGAAAAGCACCTAGGCACCCCTTAAAGGCCAGGTGAGTTGGTTTCCCCAACCAGGGGTGAGGTGCTTCCTCCTCTCACTTATCCGCCCACTCACAGAAGCTCTGCTTGCCTCACATGCAACCCACCTGAGTTACAGCGTCAGCATTCTCAGCCTGGCCTTTTTCCCCATAGTTACTTGCACATGGTTTGTCTCACTCTTTCTCCCCGTGAGAAAGAGGCAAATTCTTTTTGCATCTATGAGGACTTGTACCTGGAAGTACTAAATGTGACCACTGCACCTATTGCAGTGCTTCCAGATGTAGTCCTGTCTTTTTTGTTTGTTTGTTTGTTGTTTGTTTGTTTTTATTACTTCTCCGTGTGAATCTTCTCAAAGTCTGCAAATGTGAAGTCCAAGCTAGGTGTCAGAATTCCACACTTAGGGACAAGTCAGTGTAGTGAGAAGGTCAAAGAGGCCAAAATACTGAGCAAAACTATTAGAGCTACCAGCTTCCTAGCTGTGTGACACTGGGCACACAGGCACAACAGACCATGTCAAACCTAAACTTTCCAATATGGTAGCCAC